TTGCTCTGCACTTGCGTCTGTATTCTGTAAAACAAACTTTGAAATTTCATCATCAGGAATAAGTTCAACATAATCTACAAAAAGTTTGTCAGCTCTACTCTCACAAATATTGTGTACAACACAACATGCTGCAATTTTCATAGGCAAATGATCTAAATTTGTATAATTCTTGTTAAGTAGGCATCTGAATCTGTTTTTTAAACGGCCAAATGCACACTCTACGACTTGTCTTGCTCGACTTATGTAGTAATTAAATCTCTTTTGAACAGGACTGAGATTACCATTGTTAGGATGCCTCTTCATGAACCATGGTAACAGTGGATATGCTGGATCACCAATAAGCATGAATGGTACATTGCAACCACATATCTCTTTTCCTCCCTAGAGTATATCAAGACCATGAATTTTCTAGTGGCTATTATCAAAAATGCAGTAAAATTTGCATCTGACCTAAGATAAGCTTTTTATTATAAGAACAGAAAACTTACATTTGGGAAAAGTTTTCCTGCTTCAGCTTTTGCAAACACTCACGAGTTTGGCAAAACTCTTGCATCATGGACTTGACCTGGCCACTTTATTCAAATGTCAGTGAATCTTCAAAATTTTTTAAATATATATTTTTTACCTTTTAAGTGTGTGTAATTTAATTCACTTTGTGTAACTTACTCACTCAACTATTTGAAACACATGTCTAAATTGATAAGAAACCTATTTTACATCAGTCACTGTTAAACTCTCACATGGGATCTAAAAATTGTTAGAAGGTGAAAAATGTCAGTTGCATAACAGGGAGGCAAAAATTTATTAAGTCAACCCTGACAAAAGCAGTACGTTTTGGTACTTGTATTGATGATCAACAACAGCTTGGAGAACAATAGAGTAGAATCTTTTCAATTGTAATAATCTTGTGCAGAATTTGAAGGTGCTACAATTTGAATATGAGTGCCATTAATGGCTCCAGCGCATTGAGGGAAGCCCCATGTCGTTAGAAAGTCATCAACGTTACTCTGCAGTCTATCGCCCGTTGACCATTTGATAACAAGACGCAGTAACACGTCAACAATAGCTTGGCAAACCTCGTTCACGATTTCACTGGCTGTACTTTTCCTATACCAAAACGCCAAGCTAAAGAACGCAAATCTTCATTGGTAGCCAAATGCCAAAGACAAATTCCTACTCTTTTTGGCACAGGGATAGCCTTTCTGAAATTTGTATCTTCTCGCAATAGAGTGTCATTGATCTTGTCGCAAATGAAGTCAAATGTTTCCTTAGACATACGAAAATTTTCTAGTCACAACCCATCATCTTTTCACATATCGATAGGTTTTCCCAGAACAAACCGGTGCCTTTGCTTGCATCCACCCAGAAACGTCCTTCACTCATTAATTTATTTCCTAGAGCGTTATTACACCAAAAATAAAACTGGCCGTCCCTTCTTTTACTTCGCTGTTTTCACAGTTTCAAAATATATTTCTTTTTCCTTTCACGACGCATTCGCATCTTTTTGTGGTATTCATATGTAATATTGAAAATGGTTGCGATCGCACTTGCAGCTAAATCGAGAGATCGGAGCCATTGAGTTCTATAATAACTGGAGCGGCTATCTCAAGCGCGGCCTTAGATATCGCATGTTGTAAAAAACATGGCGGATTTCGTTCGTTGCCGCTGAGATTTACCGAAATTCACCGCTTTTCCGAAAATTTCACAATTTCCCACTCCCTCCTGAGGCAAGAGTGAGAAAAATGTATGTGTGTATTTGGGATTCGGCAAGCAATTTTTTGATGAAAATCAAGGTAAAAACCTTAAATTCATAACAGCGAGTCAACTGTGGTTGTCAGTTATCTGCTCCTACGAGGATGCATTTATAACTATCGACGAAAGACCTATATGTCGGCTACACATGTATGAATGCAGATGTGCGTCGTTTTCTTACCAGCGTCAAATTTGTTTGATCGATTAAACTCTTTAGTCTATACAAAAGTATATCATAGTTCATCTCCACGGTTCACGAGAGAGAAGTCAGCTTATTTTTATCATTGCTATTTTGCTTCTTTTCATGCAATGGGCAATGGCTTTTCGCCACAATTGTAGGATTTTTACTTGTTTCTTTAAAAAGTACATATTAAATCTCTGGATATTTACGGATTTTCTGTAATTGAGTTTCATATGAAATTTCAAAAGACTCAAGTCTGCATAGGTTTGGTAAATGAAAACAAACAATATTGTATAGAAATTACTTTAAGTAACCTTTTTGTGATGTTCTGAAGTGCAAGTGCATCAAATACTTGTAAAGTTGTAGCACATTTTGATTTTGTTGTATTGATATATGAATTGGGCAAAATGCAAATAATTATCAAAACACTTATGCTTCCAATGTTGTTTATAATTCATTTGTAGTTTTAATACTTCTACCTTTCTTTTTCACATTGTTTTGTTTTTCCTATATTTGCAATAAAAGTGCACTATAATTTGAATGATTAACACAGTTTTCACCTCAATAATAAATTTCATAAGCAGTTGGTAGTGCATTTTGTTCTCTGAGTATCCACATTAGAAAGTTATTGGATTATATTACCTCTATATCATCAATCTCATGATAAGAAATAAGAAGCAAAAAATTTGTAGAAAAGCTTTGAAAAGTGAAAAACTTTTCTTTAAAAAAACAGCAATAATGCATATGATAAACCTCCATTCTGTACTCTAATAGGTAAATAAGCTCAAATTTTTCTTGAAGAAATATAAGAAATATATAAGAAATATATAGTACAGTAACTTTAAAGGTTTCATCACTGAATCTTTAATGCTTCAGTATAGTGCATTAGATATTAGTAACATTCAAGCAACACTCAACTAAAATATTTTGATAAAGATATGACATGATTTAAACATTAAGTTATATAAAACCTAATGGCTTATACAGTTTGAAGCTTCACATCTGCATCGAGTCATCATCAATCTCAGTACAAATGTTTACATAGACACAAACTTTATGGCCTTCCATTTTACATGTTTGTGAATTGACATTTCATTAAGCTTCAAAACACACACAACCTTCTTGCCATCTTTCTTTGGATCATGAACTTTAACTTCAAAGCATTCAAGGCATCCTTAGTGAATCCATTATCTCCGTCCATAGAATTTGACCATGATCAAATTAAATAACTCTGGATAGGGCAGACAATAAATCAATTATCTTTACAGCATTATCATTTTTTAAGACTCTGCCTGGTCAATAACATCTTCCAGTCATCTTTACTCCTTGATCTTCCCTGCATGTTGTCAGCAAATAGAACATAACAAGCTCTGCTCCAAATCATGGGTACCGTTGAGCTGATCATTTCTTTTGATACTTACTCACAGAGCAAAATGTGTGCAGGGTCTTTTTTGCTTTAGGGAAACTATTTTGCAAATAAATGGGTAAATTTACGATTTCATGCATTAACAAATGACAGAAAAGTATGCAGAATTTTATAAACAAAAACAGGAAAACATCAGTATATTTGGCGTTCAAGTCAGTCTTACAAAATACGATCTGTAATATGTATTTTATGGCTTTTCAAGTGCATGTATAATTGCTTTTCAATCGTTGACTGACTAACAAAACAAACAACTATCTCACCTGTGAGAAGCGATATGTTCCTTTTTATGGAAACTACGACATCCAACAATTGAACGATTGAAGTGTTGGCATTATAAAAGAAATGCCAAAAAAGAATCGTCACAGAATATGGAACTAACGTTATCCATATTCTGTGATATCGTGTTTGTTTTTGAAAAATTCTTAATAATTTACTATAGACACCAGGGGGAGGTCGAGAATATTATTTTTCTGCAAAGCGATCATTTCAGCGGAAATACGTCCGTTGGCCGCCATTTTTTGGCATCCTCGCCCCATTGAGTTCTATAATAACTGGAGCGGCTATCTCAAGCGCGGCCTTAGATATCTGATGTTGTAAAAAACATGGCGGATTTCGTCCGTTGCCGCTGAGATTTACCGAAATTGACCGCTTTTCCGAAAATTTCACAATTTCCCACTCCCTCCTGAAGAAAGAGTGAGGAAAATGTATGTGTGTATTTGGGATTCGGCTAGCAATTTTTTGATGAAAATCACGATAAAAACCTACAATTCGTAACAGCGAGTCAACTGTGCTTGCTTTCCAGTCATCGGCTCCTGCGAGGAAAGCTATTAACTATAAACTATGTACGAAAGAACTCTTTGAACGTTTTTAAACATCGTGTCTAATGTACATGTGCACGATGTGGACGATGTGGTCTCTTTTCAAGGTAAGGAGAAAGTCTTAAAGCCATGTCCAGCCGACAATTTAAAAAAGATAGTAAAAAACAAATTCTGAAGAAACGAGATATCTCGAGATGAAAAAATGTGAATGAAAACAAAACGCGAAGTGAACTGTAAAATTTCGATTTATTTCAAAGTCATCCTCAGACAGAATGATAATCCAAACTATGCATACACATATATATTTACAATGCATGAATTAAGTAACGAAAGTCAAGCAATAGAAATTAAATAGTTTGATATTTACGAAAGCGGAGCTGGAAGTGCTGTCATATTTTAAAAGGATGAATTGAAACAAGAGACCAGACTGGTGGAATGAGTGTATTGTAATTTAAGAGAAGAGTTGTAATTCTTTGCTAGCCTTAAGTCCCGTGTTAACAAACCATTTCTTAATATATGTGTATGCATGGTTTGGATTATCATTCTGTCTGTGGATGACTTTGAAATAAATCGAAAATTTACAGTTCACGTCTTGTTTTGATTCACATTTTTTACATCTCAAGATGTCTTGATTCTTCAGAATTTGTTCTTTACTTAACTCTTAAAGAGTACTCTATAGTCATATTTATGTCAATGTGGTAATGTATGTTAGTGCAATCAGACTAAGTTACACAACATATTTGCAATAAGAATTTTCTTTTAATGAAGTTTTGAGAAAAAAAACAATATATAATCTTTTTGTATTTCTGCTAAAGATGACTAAATGACAAAAAAAAATATTTAAAATTTATTTCCTTGTAAGGTATATTGTACAGTTGCTGCAATTGTTCAGCACGTTTTTGACTGGTAGGTTTCCTTCCCTACACTGCTTGGCAACATGGCCCAATCTTTTGCATATATAGCAACGTCGTCCTGTTAAATATTCATAAGGAAGTTGTAGTTCATGACACTTTTTATTTGTTTGTGTCATTAGCTTATTTCTGTTAACAATAATGCATGCAACTTGAAGTTTTCAACCATCTAATCAAGCTGATGTTTTATCACTAGGTCAATCAAACTTACTTCTTCTCATACGATTAAACTCTATACAAAAAAAAGTATATAATTGTCAATTACAATGGTCATGAAAGAAATGTTATTTCATTTTTTGTCATTACTTTTCTTGCATTCATTCATTTTGTGGCCTTTGTGGCCACAATTATAGCATCTTCCTTCATTAAAAAAACAATGGCAATTATCAGCCAGGCATCAAAGGCAATTAGTACATGTATACACTATACCACACCTTTAAATGAACTTTTTGCTTCGACATTGCTTTCTACATAAACAAATCGTTTGTTAGGTGCTGTTTGATTTGTTATGTGTATGATTAAATTTCAGGTTAAAAGACTCTTGGTGAAAAGACTCATGGTGAAAAGGCTCAGGTGAAAAGACAAAAGTATCATGTGAGAGCTGATGGGCATATATCATATATGAATGAGAACAGTATTGTATACAAAGCACTGTTTACCTTCTTTATTTTTTTGGTTTTCAGAATTGGAGCCACCTCAAATAGTAGTAGATTTTAGCACATTTTGATGCATTGTTGTATTGTGTAATAAAGCAAAAAACAATCATTAAACAGTATAACCATTTTTGGCTAAATACACACTTGCATTTTCATTATCTTCCTCTTCAGTTTCCTGACCTGTTTTGAATGCAATTGAACTATTTGAGTGATTTTCAGTTTTCAAAACAAAAACAAATTTTATACACATTTGATACCAGTGTCCATTGCTTTTTCCTCATCTGTATAATCTAGCATCTGGTGTTTTTGTATGCAAAAAACGATAAAGTGTAAATAGATATTTTGCAAGAAGGGATTTAAACCATGTAAATGAATCACTTTTGTTTACTTCCATGCTGAAAGCTTCATATAAAGCTTTTCAGATCAGAAATTATTAAATTATTGATCTGTACTAACCTCTTTTCATCCATGGACCACAATAGAAAGTTGGCAAATACAATAAAAACAAGAAATAAGCAAAGGAAAATTCAGACAAGTTTAAAAATATTTATAGTATTTAAAAAAAAGCGGGAAAAAAATGCAAATGACAAACGCCAATGCTGTATTCTGATTGGTTAACAAATCAAACTTTTTTAACTATGAAGAACTAAATATTGCATTGAATTTTAAAGTTTTTTATAGTTTGTAAGAGATGATTCCCATGATAATATACATGTAAATTTAGCGTGCACAAATCGTTAATTGCTGTATCAGTAACGTTGAAACAGGGTGTAAATCCTGGAGAGGGATTGATATGTGGTGGCTCAGCCTCTCCCTTTCAAAAGTTAGCAGTTTTGTCGAGCAAAGCATGTAATTTTGCGGAAATTAAAACGGCAAATATTAACGATGACGTTTGGATCAACTCATAACTAAGTAAAAGCGATTTTGCTGGTATTAACATAAAAATTACACTACGTTTTGTTGGGCAAATCAAATTCTGCAACGTTTCCCTCTCCATTCTCGGGACTCAAGTCACACCCCTGCATTCAAGTAAAATTCTTCTAAATTTTTTCAAGTTATTCGAAGTTTAACCATTGGCTTTTACAAGTCAAGAAACTATATAAACAATGTGAACTCATTGAACTATAAGGTACAAAAAAATGTTAAAGATAAAATGTTACGCATCATGAACGTTGTTCAAGGACTTCCGCATGCAGATCATCCCGGCAATATTCATAATGTCACCTGTAAGTTAAACACGTGCGTTTAATATTGAGTAACGTTTATTTTTAAAAGAACGTTAACAATTCATTTATCAATTGACAGACTGGTTTAATTTTGAAAAAAGCACTTACTACAACGCTCGATCTGATTGAAAGTGCTATCAATGTTACGACCACAAAATAGTTTTCTTATGTCGTCCAATTGGGCTGTTTTGTTGAGTATTTTTTTCTCTATAAAAAATAGTTCAAAATGAATATTGTGCTATTGTTGTTCTATATTGTACTATGTTGTAGAGGAATACTCACATAGAAGACTTGCATTTCGAATTACTTCTCATTCTTTTTAATTGTTTAGTTACGTAAACTAGGTTATAATTTCATGTTACATTTTTAAGCCTCGAACACAAATGTGCAGGCACCATTAAATTTCTCCTCGAAACACATATTGCTATGTGCCAGGACGCCTACAGCCTCAAAAAAATGGAATAGTCAAATGAAAAATTCCATTTCTAGGCACAGGCAAAGCCTCGAAAACACAATAGTGTCCAGGCAACGTTCAATCTACTGATGATTGAACAACACAAGCTTAGACAGCTTTTTACGAATTTTCTGACCATGCAACTTATCGTTTTGCGTTTTGGTCAAGTGATGCATTCTTATTTTCACAAATGCCTCAGCACAACACTTTATCAGTTTATAAGCATGATTATCTGTAACTGTCGACTCTAACACATGCTCATCTAACATGCTAAAAACTTTTTTCTCTACACACACAGATAATACCGTCGCAGCAATTGCACTCGATATGTTTGCTGCTGCATGTGGCAAGCCACCATGGCAGGAATTTACCATCCTCATTACACATTTCTCTGTTTCCTGACACACTTTCAGAAGATCGTCAGTTGGTATTTTTAAACCACCGTTGCTCTTCCATGCCACAAATAGTTCTGGTGCTCTTTCTTTAGATGATGTCAGAGCATCCATACAATCATCACAATGGATCTTCCTTTTCACCATTTTTGCGACATACCCAGCAATATACGATATTGCTGCCTCCTTGTAGTCTGAAAGCTGAATGTAGTTTGAGGTGTCGCTGTAATCGTGGTCAGTTTGTTCTGGCCCACGCAGTTCTAGATCGTATCTTCTTGCAGTATTTACATCGGAAATATCTGCCGACATTTGTTCACTCTCACACCGATCTTCGAGTCTACTTAGAATTTCGGTACCATCCTGAGCAACACAATTTCCATGACCTCCTTTAATGTTATGTCGTTTCAACAGCTGCTTGTACGCTGCTTTGAACTGTCGAGATGTCGGGTTGTTGTTCCAACCTCCTGACGCTCGCACAGCTGAAAAAAACAACAATTCTAAATGATCTTGACTTGTCTTATAGGTAAGCAAATATTTAAGGGGAGAATTTTCACTTATAACAAGATCCTCAGCAAGCCCTTGCACTGCTTCAATGCACAACAGAAACCCCAAGAATCCTGTTTTCCTCTTATGGGAAAAAATCGACTTTCCATCAGCACCCTTCAGATTTAAGACGTATTGCCTTGCTTCATCCAAGAAGGTTTTTATCAGCTTGTAATTCGCTTTCCTTATTGGTGCTTTGTAATTTTTTAGCAATTGGATTCCTGGAATTCAAAACGTCAAACAAGCGATCAAATACTCGAATGAATTTGACTGTTTTATCACACCCTTTAAACTGTGGAAGTTTGAGCTTACCTTCACAGAACTCTAAAGCATCTGCAACACTCGAGCTGAGTGCTTGCACTGCTAAATTTACCTTCATTTTCTGTGGCTTCCAGTTTATGTGAGCTTTCTTTAGTTTGTTGGCAAGTCGCAAGCCTTCTGAGGCTTGCAGTTTTTCTAGCTCAACTAGGTATTGCCATCTTACCAAACCATCTTTTTCATCCTTCAGAGTTCTCAATTCAGAAATTGCTCCTCTGACAAGCTTGATCATAGACAAGGATCTAAGAATGCATAAATTTTCAACATTAAATCAGATGGATGTAAAAATATGCTTGGAAATCATTAAGTGAAAGTTTCACTCCAAGCAACTTCATCATTGCAAGATGTGTGGATGGACCATCACACGTTAAACTTCCAACTTTAACACCAACATCATGCAACTGCATCAAACACTCCTTGGTTAAATTTGCTTTTACTTCTGCAGTGAGGCCATCTACCAAGAAGTAACCAACTGGTACTTTCCAAGATGAATCTAGAGCAACAGCCATGTATACCAAAACTTCTGTTGCTTCAGGGAGTGAATCATCGTCAATCCCAGTACCAAGGTCAACATAACCACAAACTTTTTGACCATCCCATTCTACGTGTTTGCGGATTGACATTTCATCCAGCATCAATGCACATATGACTTCCTTGCCATCTTTCTTTGATTCTTGAACCTTCACTTTCAAAGCATTCAAGGCATCCTTGGTGAAACCAGGGTCACCATCCACGGAATTATACCAAGATCGAATTACTCTTGGATGAGGTAAGGCTAAATTAAACTTCTCACGAACATAATCATAAGCCTTAGGCGAGTAAAATTTCAAAGTTAGTGCAAAAGCTTGCAATTCTGGGGGGTATTGAGCACCTTTTTTACCCTGAGTGTTTGCCACTAAACGACTCAAAATATCTTCAGGAACCCCAGATAGTGAAGCATTAAGAAGTTCAGCTTGATCAGAGCTGATCATTTTATCATCTTTAAGGCAATCAATGATTGACAATAAATCATTTACCTTCTTTTTCAGTCTACTTTTTTCCATATTAGACACTTTTAACCTCTTTCTATAATACTCTGCCCGGTCTATAACATCTTCCAATTGTCTTTTCAGTCTCCTGGGAGACTTAAGACAATACGAGTGATCATGAGTAGAGAAATGACGACTCACCTTTTCAGTGCTCTTCGTACATTCAACATCCTTCACCTGTTGAAATAATGTGGGCACAGCACTATCTTCTAGACACACTTTGTTACCTGATATTCTCTTCATGCTATCGGAAAAATGATCTGAGCAAACTCTGCTCCACTTAGTTAGAACTGTGAGAGGCGACCATTTCTTTATACTATTTACCCATTCCAAAAAAAGTGCAGGGTTTTTTTCTTCGTCAGGAAAACTATTTGAAATAGATTAGTAAATTTATTGTTTCATGCGTTGATTCAACAAATAAATAAACAAATTTGTTGAATTTTTTAAAAAACACACAGGAAAACATCAGTGTATGCAGTATTTAAGACAATGTTTTTTCATAAGGCCTAACAGATTTTGGGGCTTTCAATTGTATAAATGCCGATTCAATCTTTCAGGAACAAACAAAATAAGCGAATAACTCACCTGTGAAAAGCGATGTCCTTCGCGTTGTCAATATTACGACATTCTACAATTGAACATCGATTAGGCATTTTTGAAAAAAATATTGTTTTGGCCTTGAAAATATTGTTTATTTATCATACAGCTTGCAATTGCATTTGAAATTTTCAACTGAAGGCGGGAAAATCAATAACATCAATCCGGAGGAGGTCGAGAATATTATTTTTCTGCAAAGCGATCATTTCAGCGGAAATACGTCCGTTGGCCGCCATGTTTTTTACAACAG